TCAATAATTTTGACCCATACAATGTATTGTTGGCTATTGCTACAAATATACCCCAGCGACTTAAGACTGCTTTTGTGCTCCAGAGTCACAAATTACAGTTCCGAGATTCAGACAGTGCAGGTTCAGGAAAGTGATTTTTTTGCCTGTCTGTGATGCTACTATATGAGGTACTGCTCACCCACCGACTGCAGGCTTCTGGAATTCAGTGCAAGTCAATTTAAATTAAAGCGTCTGGAAAGTGTAAAAATAGCAATTGTCTTACCTGGGGTCAGAGGTCACTGATGCATCACTAAAGGCAGAGCTCAGATTCTTTATGGGTTGATCACAGCTTGAGCCAGCAGATGGAGAACTCATTTTAAAGTCAGTGTCCTGATTCTCCTTCTCATGGAAATTCATTCTGGAGGCTGTGTCCTACTACTCTCATTAAAAATAAATAAATAAATAAATAAATAAATGACATTTATAAGTACATTTAAAAGAAATTTAAAGGAAAGTTCATATGAAATACCGCTCTATAAACAGATCCTAAGTAAACTCAACAGTGCCAGTTTTGTTTTGTTTTTTTTTTCCAAATAAATAAAGACTCCAGAGCAGGGTCAAAAATTTACTTTTTTTTATTAAGGATCAATATTTTTTTACCTTTTGTAAGGGCAGTTTTTATGATTATTTTATTAAATTTATCTGTGTTGTCTTTTATGTCAGATACTTAAATTGAATCAGTTACTTCAAATCAATCAATTTAGTTACCAATAAAATCAATAAAATAAAATCAAAGGTGAAACAGAAACAGAGGCATGTTTATTTACATAGACAAGTTAATGCTGTTTAAAAGTGGCATGCATGTATTTACATGACAACTGCATATTGCATTATAAAAAATACCAGGCAGAACTGCAAAAAAAAAGAAAAAAAAGTTAAGAACTCTGATTTCGTCAAACCACCAGTGGGAGGTATAGGGTGCTTTCACTCTAGCACTTTTGGTGTGCACCCGGGTTCGATTGACATCAAGAGTTCAGTACGTTCGAATGATGTGCTCGCTGTCTTCCGAACTCGGGTGCGCACTCGCGAACTGTACCCGAGTCCGCTTAAAAGGGGTGGTCTGGGGTATTATGTGAGTATAGGAGAGCATAAGTCTAAGTGGATGTCTATGACATGCGGAGTCCCACAAGGCTCAATTCTTGCACCACTCCTGTTTAGCCTGTATATGCTCCCACTAAGTCAAATAATGAGAAAGAACCAAATTGCCTATCACAGCTATGCTGATGATACCCAGATTTACCTAGTGTTACAAACCCCTGCTAAGTTTCAGCAGAAAAAAGAAAGGGGAATGCAGCATAAAGAGGACACGTGAATCCAAATGCCAAACGAAAATATTTATTTAACATAAAGAATAACATAAATGGAAACACGTATCCAAACAAGACGACGAGGAACACAAATGAACATAGAATAACTAGCAAAAACAATATACTTCCCCAAAACACGGGGCAGCTCTAAAGCATAAAGTCAACGAAAGAAAAACAAACCAAAAATATAAGGATTAAGAGAAAAGGTAATAAAACTTGTTTGCTGGTGGATCTCCTGTGTCTCTCCTGTGCCACTTCAACGTCCTTTATATAGGGAATCAATCACTCATTCCATGAGACGCAGGTGCACCAAGGCGGACCTAAATAATCAGACTCAAGGAGAAAGATTAGGAGAGACATAACGTCACATGAAAGATGATAATCAAGGCTTAGGCCGTAACACCTAGCCTTATCTCCAAATGACTACAGCCTCATTGACTCCCTCTGCCAATGCATTGATGAAATTAACAGTTGGATGTGCTAGAACTTTTTTCAGTTAAACAAGGAGAAAACTGAAGTCATTGCATTTGGAAACAAAGATGAAGTTCTCAAGGTGAATGCATACCTTGACTCTGGGGGTGAAACAACTAAAAATCAAGTCAGGAATCTTGGTGTGATTCTGGAGACAGACCTTAGTTTCAGTAGTCATGTCAAAGCAGTAACTAAATCAGCATACAGAGTTTTCTCTTAAAACCTCTTCACAAAACTGCTGAGACAAACTTTTACTAAGGAATATGTCACAGTCTTCAGCGGGTGTGCCCAGGATGGCCACCAGGGGACACTGTGTTCTGTGAGCACATGGCTTGGGTTGTGTTTGGTTGTTGCCATGTGCTCTCTCCTGTCTATTGTCTTGCCCCGCCCATCTTGTTACCTCATTATTGTTTAAGTTGCTCCACCTGTGTCTCCCTCGCTAGCCTCCTCATTTGGTTTCCTATTTATTCTCCTGGTGTCTGTAATCCTGTGCTGATCCATCGTTTTTCATTGTGTGTGTTATGTCTGCATGTAGTGCAGTTCCTAGCCTGCCTGTCTGTTTTTCCCCCTCGGGGTTGTTTTAGTTTGTTTTTGTTTCATTTTATTATTAAAAGAAAGAACCATTCATCCTGCACTTGAGTCCTCGCTTCATCTCTCCACACGCACCGTGACAGAACGGATCAGCCAACATGAGGACTCAGCGGAGAAATGGCTCACTCCGTCTACCGGTCTCCACACTCTCCAGCCCCCTCTACCAGCGCATGCTCCAGCTGGATACCTTGAGCTCCCTCCGTCAACGGGGGGACTGGTCTGAGGGAGTTCGCCAGGGAATTTAGGAATGCTGCAGGGGGGCTGGGCTACAATGACTCCGCGCTAAAGGACTTATTCAATTATGCCCTTGATGAGCCCATTAGTCACTGGCGCATGTTAGGATCCGCTCATGTGTCCTTTGAGGGGTTTGTGGAGTTCTTGGCACGTTCCCCCGAGGCGGCAGCGCCCGCTCACGGTTCCCCCGAGGCGGCGGCGCCCGCTCACGGTTTCCCCGAGGCGGCGGTGCCCGGGCACCGTTCCCCCATGTGGAGGGTCGCAAGGCTTCCGAGGCGTCGGGGCCCACTGATGATCCCTCCGAGGCGGCGGGATACCTGGATAATAGGTGTAGCGGGATAATAATGACAGGCGGCGGTGCCCGCTCACGGTTCCCCCGAGGCAGCGGTGCCCGCTCACAGTTTAGTCGCACTTTTAATAATAAACCATATAAATCATAATAATGAGCCTTAATTGCCTACATAGTCTAATAAGTGCTCAATCGCACACAAAAAAGGCTTGCCACAGCGCACCAGCAAATATAATAATTATGAATGTGTTAGGGAAAAACAGCAAGTACAGTGCAGTAACGTTTTAATAATCTATTGTTACACTACTGCTTTCTGTTTTCGGTTTAAGAGATGAAGTCTGCAACACTGACTCGTCATCTCCGCAGTATGCGCCTGTATGCATGTTTCATACGGATTACATAATCTGAGAATATTTATTTTCTATTTGAATTTAAGTTTCACTCTCTATAGATATATTTTTCATGTCTGTAATAAGGCAAGCATACACGGAGTTTCAAAGTGACATGCTCAAGTTCACAGAGTTCGAGACGACAGAAAGCTCATCCTGTTTGCTTTCACTATTTTACAAAAGTGCAACGTTTCGTTGTTATTCTGAGTGCACACAAATAAATGTAGAGTCTTTACAGATACAAAAGATGCATTACTCTTATCTGTATGACCAAAAATTAAGAAGTATTTTCAGAGCAAATGATCGCACCGGCGCCTCCATCTGTCCTGCAGTAGCCCAAGTAGCTACTATTCAGCTTCCACACTCCGCACAAACACGTGAACAGCGCACTTTTTTCTAGGCTAACATTAGATTGAGCTGTCATGTAAAGTTGTTACTACGTACATTTTTCAGATGATAAGCCATATTTGAGGTCGATGAATGTTAGGAGAGCAGATGGATGTCCTGCCCAATGTACTATATTACCATATAGACCAGCCGTTAACGATCTGTCCGTCACGGACTGTGTGATTTCGCCACTTCATGTGGAATT